AAAACATTACTTTACTTTCCTAGAGGTCGAATATTCGACCTTCTTCTACTAAAACAAAAAAATAATAATAATAATCGAGTCTCGATCAACGACACTTACTTATTGCCAGCAAAAGGAGAGAGATAATACAAAATGGTAGACAAATAATCTTCGACATTTTAGAAGGCAAGAGATTGAAAACAAAGCTCCAATATTCTGTGTGAATATTAGTGTTCTTGGAAGAGACATTAATATATATAGATAAAACAAGAGACCATTTTAGGAAGGCAGCAACTCAAATTCATTGGGGGGAATGTTATGCCATATTTTCAATTTTGGCCATAAATATAATATCAAATTTATCGTATTGTAAAATATCTTTTAGAAACGACACAAAGTTTAGAACTTCATATGTATAGTAGCTATATCAATGATATATTTTATTAGTGATATCCATGATATTAAATATACTTCGACATGTCCATCGATATTTTTATGTATCCTTAAATTCGACATCGACATGAGGGACAAATCGACATTTCCTTTATATTACCAAAAAAGTCGACAAAATATGAAAAATATAAACAAAATGTCACTGATATATACATAATATTAATATTAATTATTTTTAACTTATTTAGAAATAAAAAGATATTAATTTATTAATTTATATATTTTTTACGATTTTCTAATTCTTCTCTAACTTTACAGAAATATTCATCAACATCAACATTTTATCGATATTCCTATCAAATCAAGATCTTGGTGATATCTCGTTAATTTATATATTAATTAATAGTTATGAATGTGATGTGAAGGGAAGAAATTGTTATATTTTTCATTTATAACAAATTTGAAAATATAGCAATTAAATTATGTTATCCATTATAATTTTTCCTAATTTTGAAATAATTTGGTGGAAATTAAAATGCTTTTTCCAATTATATATAAATTTATATAGATGGTTAGTTCTTTCCTTAAAAAAAACATAACATTAATTTTTAAATTTCACGAAAAGAAAAAAAAATTGTGATTCTATACACTTAAAAGGATGGAGGTGCATTTTCCGACCGGAAAAGATGAAAATTTACGATTTTTTCATCATTTATGGCGTTTTTTAAACGTCTCGAAAGTCAAAAAATTTTGGATTCTATGACAGTTGAAAAACGTCACGTGGTGCATTTTTGGAATAAAAAAAAAAGTGGAAGTTTTACACACGCGGGTTAATTTATGACATTTTTTTAAATGTCAAGTAAAGTAAATAAAATTGGGAGAATTTCATTATATCAAAATAAATGTCATAAGATGTTGAGTGCATTTTTTTTTGGAGCAAAACAATGATTATTTATAGATTCGAACTTTTTGATATTTTTATAATGATTTGTAAACCTCACAGAAAGTCATAAAATTTTAAAACTTAAAAATGTCACTATGTGTTTTTCATTTTCGAAATATTCTATTTCTTTAATTAGTTGGAATTTTAGGGAATTTTGTAAGTTTTTCTTTTGTTTTAGGACTGTCATGAGATTTTTTTGTTTAGCTTCAATCAATCTCGTACCACCACCTACAATGGCACAAGTTTGCAAAGTAGACTAAACTTCAGCTTTTAATTTCTGTATTCCAATTCTTCTCCAAATTTTGTCTTTTTGCTAAGAGGGTTGAATTAAGTTATTTAGTTTTAATTTTTTCGTTTAATTAAATTAAATTTCTGAATTGTTGGAAAGAGATTTTGATTTAAATATTAGCCCTCAAATAATTGAAAACTTTATTTTTCCCTTTTTATTTTATGTATACATTTCAAAATCAAAATCTTCATTCATCCCAATGAACTTAAGTAAGGCTTAAAAATTGAAAAGCTTAGATTAGATAAAAATTAAGATTTTGAAAAGAAATTTATGATTAAATCTCATAGAATTATGATTTTGAAAAGAAATTTATAATTAAATCTCAAAGGTACTGTTTTGAAGTGTTTATTATGCCATCAAATTATGTTTCTTGTTTTCATACTCACTTAACCAGTTGTAAATTTGTTTTTTGAAAAATTTTTTTGGATTATATGATGGTGGAAATTCTGAAAACAAAATTTTTATGTTTTTTAGATTTTGAATTTGAAATTTTAAGATGCCTAACTACATTAAACGAATATAAAATTTTTGATAAATAAGCTATTTCATGTTATAAACTCTTTTTTTTTAATTAAAATTTGTGGAGTATAATATTGTAAAATAATAATTCTACAAAATTTAAATCATATATTCTAATAAAAAAATTAATATTATTTTAGATTGAACGGTCTACTATTAGTTTACAAACATATTACCAAATATTTTGAACAGTTTTTTAAATTGATATTCAATTTCCAAATTTGCTACCAAACACATATACTCTTTTTAAATTAGGTTTTCTCTCTACTTGGTGAAGACAGAGTATTTTCAGAGAAGTTAGAGCCAAAAGTGGGGAGGGGGTGAGGTGGTCGGCGACCTTCTCCACTCATGTCGTTCTCCTCTCCGTGAAGGGTGTGCGTTTTCTCTCAGTCTTCGACTAAGTTTTTTCAATTTGTTCAGAGGGTGTTCCTCTCTGCTTTGTTCCAGTTCTTCCATGGGTTTTCAAGAAATAAGTAGCATGGATAGAAATATATTAGGGACCTCTCTTGCTGTTGTGGAGACGAGCTATTGTGGAGGTGATTTTCAGTGAGGATCATTCTTCCCCGCTGGTTTTTGGGGTGACGGACAATGGAGGGGTGTCGGAGATTTCCCCGTCGGATGTTGAAGTATTGTTGCAACTGATGTTCGCTCGCTCACAACTTGTGTGAAAATTGGTGCAAGTATACACCAAATAATGCTCAGTCGTAGTATTAAACAAGGTCGTTTCCACATGAATTAATGTTTTACTTCAAGTTAGCAAAACAGAATACCCAAAAGTAAAATAAAATAAAATCGTTTAAAGGTGTATGAATAATGTAACTTAATTTGGTAGAAACAGAAAATGAACAAACACATAGATAATATATGATATTATGCTGAAGCATCCAAAACAGAAAACAAACAGAATGCGTATATGAAGCGATATAAAGGTAAGTCGATGGAGATTCACTCTAATGCTTTCACTCCTAACTAACTAATGTTTTAGCAAACTCAGAATGCTAAATACCCAAAACCGGATCTCGAAAGGCGAGAGGCTTTCATAAAGACGTATGAGAAAGGGAGGGTCGAGAGAGGCTTAGAAAGCAAAAGCAATTCCCGTAGTAGCGGCGAGCGAAATGGGAGGTTCTCTCATGAGATACCCAAACATGTTTAAACCAAACTTCCGATGTAGCTTAAACACGCAATACAAACAGTTTGTAGGTACGATAAGGTAAGCCTCATCCCTGAGTTCGTTTTAAAGAGAAGAATCTAATGCAAATAAAAGCAATCATGTATCATAAGGATTTTTCCAAACCTCAAATGAGCTTGCAAACTAATAACATTGGCCAAACAAAATTAGTGAGATGGAAGAATAATAACGCTTCTATTAAATCAGCATTAAAAACTACCAAAGTATAAATAGTCAAGAAGCTACAACGAGTTCATCCCCGAAATGTGGGGTTTAAAAGACAACAATGGGTAGAAGAGAAATGTGTTCCATCAAGCAAGAGAGCTTAAAAAATGGTGAAAAATCCCCCAACTCAACAGTGACACCAAGTTCAACCTTCTTTTCCAGCTCCTTCTATGAAAATGTATAAGGAATATTCTATAAAATTGATGTCCTAAAATGATTTTCTATTCTGTCTCTTCTTTTGTGGTCATGTTTCCTTTTTATATCAGGTCCTCAAAGTTAGGGCAACACTTGGAAGCTGTACGGATACGGTAAAAACTGGTTCAATTAGTTACTACGCAGTCACATGTGCTAGGACATCCGACCGGTTCCACAGACTCCAGCATAGAAACCCTTTCATTCAGGTTCCAGCATCGTCATCAGTGGCACTCAGCTTAGTCATCCCAAATTCTACAATTCCTGTCCAAAATATCAAAAATTAGTCTCAACTTCAATCAAATGGCAGAAATTGAGAATTCTAACAACCCACGCCCCTAGCTCACTAATGTATATTCTTTTCTAGCTATTTTGACAATGACCCTCATGTTTACACCCCAATATTACTTAAAATATGCCACAAAAACACTCTCTTATGAAGAGTTATCAGCTGACAAAATTAAAGACAACATTTTAATGTATGGTTTGTGGCTTCGTCATTTGGGCGTTTTGAAGAATTATCAGGCACATAATTGGAGAGGGCACCTGCATGCAATCTCTTGGGATGACTCTTCATTTTCATTGCATCTTGGTTCAGAGAACTATGGTCCAAGGGCAATACAAACGGAGCAGAAGGTGGGCGACAACAGAGGTGCGTTGCGAAGAGAGATCGAAGACGAAGATTTTCTGATGCAGTGTGGGCACTGGATGGAAAAGACAAAGAAGAGAACAACCCACTGGAAGGGCATACCTTAGGAGCACCCCAGGCAAACATCGAGATGCACGAAGCCGATCTATATCTCGAATCGAAAGAAAAATGCAGGAAAGGAAAATGAAATATGAAAGAAAAAAGATGTTTTGGGAGTGTGAGATACGTGGATAGGGAATACGCAGCAGAACAATCGCAGGAGCTTCCAACAGTGATAGCTGCCCCCACCAGATGGGCTGCCCAAAACCTGAAGCTAACATTTCAATGCAGCAGCGATCAGCTCAAACATCGTTTTGGAATTTGGGAAGGCTATCAATCTTAATTGTAATAAGATCCACGACAAACGTGATTTGAGAATTTGCCTACAGACAACTTTGGAGGCAATTATTTCCATAATTGACAAGATACCTCTGTTAATTGAGGAGTATCTCCGATATCATAGATTGAGGTTCAAGATGTTGCGACTTTGTAGGAGATGTTTTAGCGGGTTAAAATTGGTTCATATTCCTAGTTATGTGCAGTTTTTTTCTTTAATGGTTTGAAAAAAAAAAACTCTTTTTACATTGTTTTCATATTTGTCCAAGTTTCTTATTAGCTTTATAAAAACCAAATTTATTCCTCTTTTCCCTGCGGCGGCGTACGTCCCTCCGACTACCACACCGTGGTAGTCACTCCGGCAGCAACCACACAAACCAGGAACTTGGAAGACCCACGACTCCCTTCTCCGGCAACGTCTGGTGGCGCAGATATTTCTTCCCCTCTTTTCCGATCGGAAAGGGTATTTCCCATCAAAGGGTATTGCCTCACCCACTTTTTCAAGCTACAATCTCATTTCACTTTCTAGTTTCAGCCCCTCAAGAAAATCCCCTCTTTGTTCCTCCACGCGAGTTCCCTTTTCTCTGCCATTGATTCTCTGTTTGCTGGTTTACTAATTGCGGATGAGTGCTGATAATTAATTTCCATTGTTCATGCTCTCTGAATCTTAAATTTCTTGCTATGATCAAGCTATCTGATGAGGAGCGTTTTGTCATGTGTCAAGCTAAATTGGAGATAATCATATTAGCTGCATTCATGAGAATTGACAAACAATTGAGAGTTTTAGGTGAAATTTTTATGTTAGTAATTTAGGATCCCATCCATTTGGGTGAGTTCATCTGCTATTTGACTATCAATTGCAAGATGAATTATACACATTGTAGAAGAAGTCTTGTTTCTTTCTCACTTTATCTAATTTCGAAATTTAAGATTAGAAAAGATGGGTGCTCTGGAAGTTGATAAAATGGTTTACGGGCACCAGCCATGGAGATTGATCTCTTGGGCATTTTCAAGTTATTTAATTTTTATTATTTTGGAAACCAATTTATCGTAATGCACATTAAAAATATAAAATTGATGGAGATAAGTTTTGTTTGTCTTACTGATCTGCAGGTTGTGTTGAATGAATGGGTGCACTATGTGCTGTATGGGCCCAAATGGTTTGTACTCATTGTATGAGGAGGGGAACGTAGTACACAATTTGTTTTTGTTTTTTGTATATTTGTGTGTTGAGGTTAGCTTACGCGCACGTTGACTAATCTCACAGGACCGTTTGACCTGCAATATTTGGTACCAGAAAACACATCAGAATTAATTCCTAAGGTAGGTGATTATCATGGGGTTTGAATCTGGAATATAATACACAATTGGTGCCTCCGTAATCTTTTAATCTCTTTATTAAGAGTGGGAATTCATATCTGCTGGAGCTCTTACAGCACCATGCTTTCCTGACAAGAAACCGTTGGATTCTTCAACAAGGGGCTGATTTCAAGCAGATTGATATGGAATGGGACCGGTATCATATTTCCCGTGATTAATTAATCAGTTCTTTCAAATTTACCACATAAAAAAGTTGGAATTTTTAATTTCTATGTTTTCTCTATTGGCCTGCTCCATTGCCTACTAAATTGTAGAAATCACAGCCTTGCCTACTAAATGTTCAGTAATGTAACTAAGCGTGGATTTGGAATGAGAGGTACTAGTTGGGCCATTCTTATTTTGGTTCAGTACAGGGTTTCAGTAAAGGTTTGAGATGATTAATGTGTTTGCTGGGTCTGTTGGAATTTCAATGAACAAGAACAAGGTTCACTAGAAAGCCTTGTTTGGTGAAGGTATGTTCATTGTTTTTTTTAATTATAAACCTTTGTTTCAATTGTATAATGTTTTCAGCAGTTATTGTTGTTCTTCTGATTGCATGAAGTTCAAGGATATTTGGCTATTGAAGTCAGGTTTTGTTGGGGACATACCTGTTTTTCTGGCAAGTCCTCAAACTTACATCAATCTTAGTGGTGAATCTGTATGTGATTGACAATACTTCCTTTGTCTTCTTCCTTCTTATAAACTTACATCAATGTAATGCGTTTCTTGTGAGGTCATATTTCTGGTTGTCGTTGTCTATACTAATTGGCAGTATTGTTCCTTTAGTACGAGTGTGATGACATTCTCTTCCATTTTAAGACAACTCTCTGTGGAAGCGGGTCATTTCGAATATTTATGGTAGAGGTTCTCCCGGTCTGTTGCCCCCTCTCAAAGGGTCGCCCAAAGGACGGCCATGGGTGGAAATTGCTAAGCAAATCCCTGTTTTATGAGATTCTTATCCTTTAAAGTTCAAAATGGGCGTGGAATAAAATTCTGGAAAGATAATTGGTTGGGAGGCAGCCCCTCTGAAATCCAGTTTCCAGATTTATATAGAATCTCAACCAAACAAGAGTGTACCGTGGCAGCTTGGTGGAATTCTGATCAAAATGATTGGAGTTTAGGCTTTAGAAGAGGCATCAGGGAAAGAGAAATGGCTGGATGTTTTTGGATTCCTTCGAACTAACGGAAGTTACCCCTTCTCTAAAGAACTCTTATAAAGTTAATCGGGAAGTTGTAAGGTATCGAACTTCTTCTTCTCTGATTACTGTTCGATTAAAGAAACGAGCCCGAAGGCACAAGTTACCCCACCTATTCGAGAGGGTGGGTGACTCTCCTACCTTCCTTACTGCTCAAGGATCAATACCCAAGAACAGACTACCACCAGAACCCATTCTCCCCCCTTTTCTATCGTACCTACCTCACTCCCTCAAACATGGTAGATACTTTCTCTCTCTTGGCCGTTAGGCCTCTCCCTGGGTATTACCCATACTACCCCTGGGTTATTTCCCAACTTACCCCTCCTAGAATATGTCTTAGTGATCGGGGCCCTAACAGAAGTTTCCCTTATCCTAAGAAGACAAAGGTTTTTCTTGTGGAGCCTAGCCTATAGAAGCATCAACACACACGATAACTGCTGAAAAAACTTCAAAATTGGACGTTATCTCCCTCGGTGTACTCTCTTTGCCTTAGGAATGAGGAGACAATTGATGACTTGTTTCTCCATTGCACTGTTGCCTCAAGATGTTGGTCTTTTGTGATGAGAGAGTGCGGCCTTTCGGGGTGCCTTCCTCGGTCGATTGATGATTGGCTACTTGACATTATTCATGGAGTTTCTCTAAAAGGCAAAGGCAGAGTTCTTTGGTGTTGCGCTGGTAGGGTGTGTCTTTGGAGCATTTGGAAGGAAAGAAACTAAAGAACGTTCAATGATACCTTTATCCCTTTTTTTTTTACTTTTTTATGAAAATGTACAAATTACTACAGCCACTTGGTGTCTTACTCATTGGAGATTCTTTTGTAATTACAGTCTAGCCTTATTGTCCCATGATTGGCAAGCTGTACTGTGGTAGTTCTTAGGCCCTTTCCCGTAGGCTATGTTCTCCTTTTTGGTTTAATATATTTTGTTTCTTACCAAAAAAAAAAAAAAGAAAAAAGAAGACATATTCTCTTCCATTTTTGTGGCACTTCTTGAAATGAATTTTTATGGCAGGCTGAAGAGTGTCATTTATCATACCACTCATTATCTGTATTAAGATCCAACATAGGTTAAGGGATGTATTCATTTTTAGGAAGGAAAGACATGACTTTACTTAGGCTTATACATGTAGGAAGCCTTATTGAGTGACACTAAAATACGATACTATTAGGTGACACTAAATCTATTGTGAATGTAAAGGTTTTCGTGATAGATACTATCTGTCATTAAGGATTTTGTGAATGTAATTTATTATTATATATATTTATAACTTCTTTGTAGAAGAATAACATGCAACGGTAGCAGAAAATTTGGCATAATCCATTTAAAGAGGTGAGGTGAACCTGTATAAACTATATGGTATCTTCTTTCTTCACTTTATCTTTTAATTAGTGCTTTTATCATGGTAATTCTTATAATATATGAAGTTCATAATTCTACGGTCAAATTCTTCAAAGTTCTTCCGAATAAGAGAATAAGGTGGGATAGGATCTTTTATCTCTATCCACAAAGATAACGAGACCTACGAATAGACAATATGAATAACAACATACCGATCGTTATATGTTTAAGTTATACGTACATTTCCACTCTAAGAAAGAAGGTTTGAGTCTTCCTCTTGTGTATTACTAGTGGCTACTAGGTACATTTCCAACAGAGGATTAACTGCTGAAAAGGATGTGCTAACAGAATTTACAATTGAAGATAACAAGTTAAAGCAAAAGACAAGAAAAATGAGAGTTAGAGAAACAGCCCTTTGCTTAATACACTCAACAGCTTAATTCAAAGAAGAAAGCTACAAGAAAAAGTACATATAAATCTCTTGCAAAGGCCATCAGATTTCTCTCATTCTTCAAACTCAACCAATTAACCATTAGATCCTCATATGAAACTATTTATTATTTGTGCTCTATTCTCTCACAATTACTACCTTCATGAATGTCAATAGAAATATGATGTGAGTGGCAATTACAATTTGATTCACTCACTTTCCTAGAAGAATTTCCATTACTTCCATTGTGTTCTTCCTCACATGATTGATCACCTTGAATTCTATTTTCATGAGGATCAAGATGAAGCTTATGAGCCTTAATTTTCTCAGAACAACAATGCTTATGGACATGATTCTCGAGACGACAGGTTGATTTATCGTCAACGACATGGCATCGGTGATTATGGTGGTGACGATGATCATGATGATGAGACGATCGTCCATGTTTTGTCGAACATGGTTTGGCAGATTTGCAACATTTATTCACATTTGTGTGGCGATCAGCTCCTCTCAAAAGGAGCATGCTGTTTAAAATAACCACCACACATGTACCGACATCAGCAAGCACGGCCGCCCAGACGAGCGGATGCCCGGCAAATGCCAAGGCGAGGATCGCAGTCTTCGTGCCGATCGAGAGAATTACATTTTGAACTACTTTAGCATGAGATTTCTTTGCTAGTTTGATGGCTTTTGGAATTTTTCTCATGTCATTTGACATTAGGATCACATTCCCAGTTTCAGTGGCCAGTGCTGAACCTGAAACACCCATTGATATGCCAATATCAGCTGTGGCTAATGCTGGGGTGTCGTTTAAGCCATCTCCAACCATGGCGGTTGGTCCATCCCTTTTGAGTTCTTTTATGATATTTGCCTTCTCCTTAGGTAGAAGTTCGGAATGGATTACGTCGAGCACATCCCCGAGCTGCGAATAATGCATCGTTATAAAGATTCATGTAAAACGAGCACTGTTTCAATCATCACAAAACTCAAAAGTTTGATAAATTTTGAACATATCAGACTTAAAATCTTAACTGTCAATTGCCATCAAACTGACATCCTTTACACGGATCAAACTTTTCTTTTCAAACTATTTTTAATTGTTAGGAGTTTAAACTTAAGATCTTCTATTTCGATCGATACTAGACTTATACTAAATTTGTTTTTTCTTATAACATTTGAACAAACTTAAGTTTTGCTGTGGGTTTTCTCAAATTATTGAAGTTTGAATGTTTCATTAAGTTTTTAGGTAATTTAATTGAGAAAAGGAAGAAGGAAATGAAGTATATATAAAACCTGTTCTTGGGCATGTGCGGCTGCTGCACTACAATCTCCAGTGAGCATAGCTGTTTTTATACCAAAACTCTTAATCTCCTTGATCGCCTCTCTAACTCCCGAACGACAAGCATCCGAAAGGCTGAAGGATCCAGCTATGGTCGCCCCACGGAATATATATCCGACAGTCAGCCCTTGTTTCGTTTCATCGTCTAAGCTCGGAACTGAAAAAATTCAGATCAACCACTCAGGATCATGAAAACTAAAGTTTTTAGATAAAAACATGCATGTTTCGTATCGAGAAGTTATTTTTACTCAATTTGTTCTCCCGAACAATTTATTTTCGAGAACATTATAGTAGAAAGGGGTTTAATTAAACCTGTTGTGCAGCCAGCTCTGGCAGCAATCTTTCTACTTCCAATGTAGATATCATTTCCATCTATCTTTCCACGAACACCTTCTCCTGGAAAGTTCTCAAATTCCTCGACGTTTTCGGGATTTATATGGACGGAAAGCAACCTTCCATGGTTGACAAGTGCAGCTGCCATGGGATGGCTGGATTTGCTCTCAATGCATGAAACCCTAAATTTACACAGTTTGATCAAAATACCATACCAATCTGCAAAGCTTGCTGTATGAATATCAAAAAAGCTAGCTAAATATAAAATCTAGTTCAGAATTTTAGCTTTCATTTTTTAATTGTGTATCTAATCTTTAGAAGCGTCAAATAAGTTCCTTAATGCGACAAACACAACGAACTGACTAAATTATATATTCGGAGAGTTCGTCGTTGGGTAAATTACCAATGAAGCAAGGTGTGCAAGCTAATATCGTCCCGAAGAGCTCGAAAATCGGTGACAACAAATTCACCTCTAGTAATAGTCCCCGTTTTGTCGAAGGCCATGACCTTGATCTTGGCAAGAATTTCAAGGTGGTCGCCGCCTTTGATGAGAACTCCAGCCGTGGCGGCCTTCGTGAGGGCGCAGAAGGCGGCGACCGGGGTGGAGAGGATTAGGGCACAGGGACATGCACTCACCAAAACCACCAGAGCTAAGTGAAGCCAATGGCTGAGGTTGTGAACTCTTAATGCAGCTGGAATGGCTGCAACACAAGCTGATATGACAACAACAGCTGCATACAAGAAGAAGAAGTTCATAAAGTTGTTTAAATTTTCATGATCCTACCATGCTGCAAAAGAAGATGATATGATAACAAGTGAAAGTTATGGAAAAAAAAAAGTTGTGTTTTTGTGGTTTTGGGTTTGGGAAAATAACTCGTTTTGGTCGAACTCCAAGAAAACAATATTTAATAGCGTGTTTGGTAAAGTTTTTGTTTGTTTCTCTCTCGTTTCCCAAAAAATATATATGATAATTGTTCCTTTTTGTTTCTTATATTATTATATTATTGAGAAAAACAAATAAATAGATGTATTTGATAATCTTAACATCTTCAATTAGTAGAAGTTACATGTTATATATATTTTATTTTTAATATTGTGATAGTCTTAACATCTTCAATTAGTCAAAATTACATGTTGTATATGTTTTATTTTTAATATTTATTATGTATTTTATAAATAAAAATATTAAATAAAACTCAAAATATGAACCATAAATAAGAAATTAGATTTTGATATTTTCAAAATTTGGATATAATTTTGAGAACTACATTCCTTAAAAATGAGAGACGAGAAGTAAATAATAGTTACTAAAAGACGGGAAATTGAAATTAATATGAACGTTAACCAACAACCTTTTTAAGTTAATCTATTATTTTTAAAAAACAGGGACCAAAATATATTACCTGTTTTGAAAGTAAAAAATAAAAAAATAAAAAAAAATTACCTGGAGTGTAATATTTGGCACATTCATCAATGAATCTCTGGGTTTTGGATTTGCTATTTTGAGCTTCTTCGACAAGCTCAGCCATTTTTGCCACCACACAATCCTCAGCTACAACACTAGTTTCAACACTAATGTAACCTACAAAAAATCAATGAAACCCCCTTAGGAAAAAAGATGTAAAATTTTGCTTCAGGTATTCATTTGATCTCAGGGAAAACAACCTTTATGATTGGAAAGCAAGAATTTATTTCGTTGACCATCATTAAATTTTTTACAATTTAAAAAATATATGTTCTTCTTAGTCTATACGAAAGTATTGTCGAAATAGAAAACTGTCTACGTATAAAAATCCAGGTAAAGATGAAGCCTCATAACCCATAAATATTGATATGGTATCAGAGTCTAGCAATCTCAAACAAGCATCCGACATCCAGCACTATTTTGAGGGGCATGTTAAGGATTTCACATTGAAAAGATAAGGGAACCTTACCTAAGGCGTTTATAATATACCTATACTACTCTCTCTCATGAACAATTGATCTTGAGATAAAACTCAATGAATATACTTAGTCAATAGAAAAGTATTGTCTATAACTTATTTAAGAAAAATATGATGGGACCCACCAAATTTGAGAGAATGTGACCACATGGTAAGAAGAGAGATAAAATAAATAAAGTGAGAAGTTGAATAATAAATAAAGTGAGAAGTTGAATAATAAATTGAGGGACTTGAATAGTAGAAACCTAGAAGGGTGGAGTTTCTTACTCAAACTCCACTCCTTGCAACTTCGTCGCTTAAATGGCCCCTTAGTCAAAAGAGAAGTATTGTCGTCCAAATAGAAAACTAACTACCGAAAATCCAGGTCGAGTTTTTTTTGACATTTCATAGAGTTTTAAAATTAGGAGACCAAAATGACACACCCGAGTCAAACTTCAAGACAAGAAGAGTATAATTAGATTTCCGAGAGAGATATATATATATTACCATTCAAGTTGATAGTACCAGCCCAAACAAGAGAATGTTTGTGTTTGGGAACTGGGAAAGTTTCTCCAGTCAATGTTTTCTCATCAACTTCACAATTTCCTTCCACAACAATGCCATCAATGGGAATGACTTCTCCTGCCTTCACAGCCAATACACTCTTCAATTTTACCTCTTTTGCATCCACAACCTCTCCACTCTCTGCAATCACTGCCTTTCGAGGGGCTAGGCTCATAAGTGAGCACATTGCAGAACTTGCCTGACAGAATCAAATTTTTTATTATCCATTCATAGGCCTTAATTAGTTTAATTTGTTAGCTAATTAATCTCTCACTGTTAATTAATTTCAGCTAATTACCTTTTGGCTTGCTCTTGACTCCAGCCATTCAGCAATGGAAAACAAGAACACAATGCTCCCAGCTTCCATATAGTCATTCATAGCAATTGTCCCTACAACTGCAAAATGTGTCCCCAACTTTTCATGGTTAAAAGTGATAATAATAGGATTTAAATTCTATATACCCGCGTGACATATGTCATCTATTCATCCAAAGATCGACTAATTTAGCACGATGTGACAGACAAAAATGATTTGATAAGCATTGCTTAGGAATCAAAGGCGAATTCACGATCTATCTAAACTAATACGGTTTCAATTTTGAATTCAATTAAACCTCCACTTCTTTCAATTTAACTCTCTTGAATCGACATAGGAAATAGATTCTTAACTTTAAAGGATTGAGTTTTAATTTTATGGTGACCATCTATTCAAGATATAAAGTCCTACGAATTTAGTTGACATCACACGTATCAAACATAAATTCAGCTTCTTAATCTCGACTCACCCCAAACACGTAAAAATCAAAATAAAAAAGAAAAAAAAAATGATAGAGATTCTAAACTTTACCAGCAATAATTGCAAGAATGTTGACATCAATTCTAAGGTGGCGAACGGCGGCGATGGCTTTTAGGAGAATCGGAGAGATGCCGGCGGCCACGGCGCCGATGGCCAGCCACCGCAATGGGTGGTACACGTACTTCAAAAACGACGCCGTTAGAAGCAACCCACTAGCTATTGCAAAAGGACTTGGCCATTTCTTCTGGCTAATTCCCTTCCCATGTAATTTTACGTTTGCCTCCAATCTTGCTTCATTTAGAGCTTTCACTGTCAACATTTCAATAACAAAATAAAATTGGGGAATTATATCCGGAGCAAAATCTTTTATGTATTTCAAAATATGTCACTTGCTTTTTAAATTTTCACTTATATCAGTAATATATCAGATATTCATATTAGTAGTAGTATATTGGTAGTAGATGTATATCACAGACACTCATATCAGTAGTTTATCGTATGTATATTACATATATATTGCAAGCATACGAGACACTCATATCAATAGTATATCATATATATATCACATAAGTGGTAGATATATTACAAATATATATCATTTGGGTAAAGTTGTCATTTTAAAAATTAAACCTTCATTTTTTTTAAGTTCTATTTTTGAAAAACCTAAATGTGATTGCTATTTTTCTAATTTTACTCAATGTTTTTATCATATTTCCAACCATCTAATAAAATTTTGTTACAAACCAATTGATATTTATTACTGCAAAAAAAAAATAAATAACAGGAAAATAATAGATTATACTTATAACATAAATGAACTTGAATACTAACATTTAACTTTTGAAAATGAAATCAATCGCTAATTTAGTCTTAAAATGTAGTTATAAATTTACCTACAGAAATCAAAATATATATTTTGGAAGTACATAAATCAAGATGAACCAAAGTAAAAAATGTAGAGACCAAAATATTATTTAATTAGAAAATAATATAAATACTATGGGATCTCAATCTCAAAAGTGAGGATTAAATAAAAGCATAATTCTAATTCAAAGTCGTAACTAAATTTTATAGCTAGCCAACTCAAATATAACTCAACTAGGTAAATATCCTCAATCAAAAGGTCAGCGGGGTTCAAATCCTCACCTTCACATGCTGTAAAACAATACTACAATCGGTACGGGATAAATAATGCAGATGTTTGGACCACAAGTCCCAACAATGTAACCCATCAATATAATGAATGAAATAGGAAATTATTAAAAGAGAAAGAAGAAGAAGAATACCAATTTGAATTTGGGAAATGAGGAGGGGATCATGATGGACAATGATGGTCCTTGTAGTAACAATGACAGAGATTTGTTTTATCCCTTCGAGGGGTTTGAGGATGTTTTCTATGAGAGGCACTTCTGAAGAACAGCACAGTCCCAAAACCTCGAAGTGGCTTTTCTGAAACTTGTTTTCTCCTTTCTTCTTCTCCATCTCCATTGTTGTACTCTTCTTGATCTTCCTCTCAAAACAATAATAATATCTCTACACTCTGAATTTCCCTGCAAAATATATACATACAACATATTTTTTGAAATCACTCTTTTTTTTTTCCTTTGCTTTTGTATGAATGAAAGGGAGAGAAAATATCCTGAGATCCATCTCGCAATTTTTTATGAGAGTGTTAAACACCGGAGAAATATATAACTTGTCGGATAATGTTCATGCTTCAACTTGTTTCTAGTTTTTAGAAACACAAGCGTTTGATAGCTATTTATAATTCTTATTTTCCATTTGTTAAGAAATGTTTTCACAATTGTGTTGAAATTTTGAAAATAATTACAAAACTAAGTTTCGCATTTCAAAACATAAATAAATACAATGTTTTATCATTCTTGATTTGAAAAATGCATAGTAAATATTTTTATCTATTATGGAAAACGAAAAACAAGAAACAAATCAACCCACAGTTTCTTAATTTTTGTTTATGCCTTCTGATGTTGAAGAAGGAAGAGGCGGCTATATCCTTTGATTCAACTTAAACTAAAAAAGCTATTAAAAAAAAAGTACCATTTCAAAGTTTTCGCTCTAATTTATCTTCTAAATTTTGAAATTTGAAAAAAAATTATTATATTTAAAATTACAATGAAAATTTATGCCCATACCTAATTGAAGTTATTCTTCACAAACTTGTGTGAGTTTGAAACGAAATAATCACTAAATATTCTAAAAACCAAAGCATTCGTGAAACTATATATATACATGCAAGAAGAAAATGAAAAATAAAATCAATTATTTTTAAATAGTTATCCAATATGTTTTCTTTATTTTATTTTTCTCTAAAAACAAAGGACTACACACAGTTCATAAACAAGCCTTCAAATAGAATTTGGAAAAGTAAAGAGCCAAAAATCTCTTTGAAAGAGATATAACAAGAGAGAGACCCATAAACCGAACGTAAAGTAAATCTATTTTCTCTCTTTCTAAATGCATTCATCTCTCTTAACTATCAATCTTTTAATGACGGGTGGTAAGTAGGAGATATCTAGTTGCGGATAAGCGAACTTAAGTATTATTCTCCTTTTTTAGTACAATATGTGGCGGTGGTTGGGATTGAACTCACAACCTCTTAGTTAGAGATATATGTCAAATATCGTTAAGCTAGGCTCGCTTTGGCTAAGTATTATTGTTTTGGTGATGTATAAAAACAGAAAGTAATAAATAAATTGGAATGAAGTTGAAATTTTCAAGTAAGAGAAGCCCATGAGCCAAAAACAAGCTGAGAAAGAGGGAGGAGAGAGGCAATTAATAAATTATTGCTAAGCAGAGAAAGGTGAAACAAACCTTAGAGTTAGAGGTGTGAATTCTTGTGGTGTGTCTGCAAAGAGAGAACAGCCTCACAGAGGTTTAAGTAGAAGAAGGAAAATCACCAAAAATAAATAAATAAATAAAGAATAATGTGAAAGTATATTCAAAGGAATACAATGCCATAGAATAATATAATATAATATAATATAGACATAAAGCTTTTGAAAAATTCTATCTTTGAATATATAATTTCTTTTTTTCTTTTCTTTTCTTTTGGTGGAATTCAATTAGGAGAAGGGATGAGACAGAGATTAGTGGAAAACCCACATCAATCTCTGCCAAAATTATCAATTGGAAACCACATGGGATTCCACCAAAGTTCTTGTTTTTTTAGCCCTTATGGTTAGGAATTATATGCTCAAAAAAATTAAAAATAAAAAAAACTATTCATAGCATACTCATATGCATTGCATATATGTTTTATTGTGAAAAAAGGGAAAAAAAATTGTATATATATACGTTTTAACAATGCGAAATAATTACTCTTAACTATTGCTAAACGATTTTTTTATGTTTACTTATAAATTTTGTTAATACTTTCATGTTAATTAGTTAATCTCTTAGAATTCATTTTGAAGAATCAATTGTTACATATTTTTTCTATTTTTTTAGTTATGTTATTTCCCATTAAAAAGAATATAAAGTTGGTTTATATTACAAAATTAATTAACTTTAAACTTTTTGTTATTCCTCGCTAACAATTAGGCCATTTTGTCAAGATATAGATAATATGAAATTCAAATTAGCATTAAGATAGGCTACCTCTCTCGAAGTCGTAGGTTTTTTTTTCTCCCGAGTATAATATATAGAGGTTGTGATTCTAGATCAGACATATATGTCTTAACTAGTTGAGCTATAATCAAGACGATAGGTTAATCATTTATAATTAGCATGTCAAAATTTAATATATATATATATATATATATATTGTGGGTAACATTTGTTGTGCATATGTAGAAAATCCATAGATTTCCTAAACCTTCCAAGCTCTTAAAAGGATTTGAAATTTTCCATTGGTGGAAGGGGAAAGGAACCAATTAGGAGCTGTAGAGCATCCATTGAAAATAAAATCATGAGTTAAAATAGAAAATCATGTTTGATAAAATAGTTTCTCAATACAAAAAATAGTTCAAAACATTAGTGTTTTTGCTGTTTTAATTTACTTTCTTTTAATGTTTTAAAATTAAACACATTACATACATGGTTAATTAAATCAATTATGTTTTTCAAACACTTTTTTGAACTAAAAAGAAAATAAACTAGTTTAAAGAAAAATGAGTGCAAAATACTTTTTTGTTGGAAAATACACCCAAACATTTAATCAATTTCCAATTTAATTAACATTTATTGATTAAGGTACCCTATAAGTTGATCTTACGTTTAAATGTCATTTAGTTGTTCATGAAACTTTTTAAAGTTTGATTTTGGTACTCCTTCAATTTTTTATTTTTAAAAGTCTCCAAGAGATAATTTGGGTGGCTCGGGACCTCAAGGAATATCTTCGAAGTCTTGAGTTCGAGTCACATGAAACGTAACTCCACCAAACAATACCCCTTATATATGTAGATAGTGTGCATAGCTCAGGTATAAGAGCATAAAGGTCAAAGAGCTAAGCTATGCTCGCTTAAACCTATTTAAACCTTAAGTTTATGGACTTAATTTTAGTACCAATTATTGAATATTCTATGGAAAAAATTATAATCCATTAATATGCAATTAATAAATTTATTTAAAACCCAACATACTAATATAATTTTTTTAGATATAATATTCACATTAAATGTTGTTAATTAGAATGCGAGAAGTGTTCTCGTATCGTCTATAGCATATAGTTAAATAAAGAAACATTTTTCATTAGTATGATAGTGTTTAGTTTAAATCAAGAATAATTTTTTACGGACTTAAATTCAAAATGAACAAATATAAAATTACATATGAAGAGACTCGGTGTCTTCCGTACAAATTTTAAACCAAAATGAAAAAAAAAAAAAAAAGACAAATTTGAGAAGGGTAAGAAAAGGGAAAGCCCTCAACCCTAGAAAGCATCAAAGGCTTTGATAAAAATAGGTAAAGGAAACACATAAAAAGCCATTGAACAAATTAAAGAGATATGGGGAGGGGAGGCATCAACTTTGCAAAAGAATTGGCTTTTCCAAGTGAAGAGACAACATTAAATTATTGTTGGGAATTATTAAATTCAGTGCTTTTGAACCTTTTTTGATCAAGGAATCTTTTTTTCTCTCTCTTTCTTTTTAGGTAAGGAATGCCAGAATTTTATAGACCATAGTTGGTGTGGAATTTGGCATCAAATTTTGGTTAGTTGATTATTCTCCTTATACAGGGAGAGCTTGATATATACCAAGTACATCAAATATATATATATATTTTTTTTAATATCAACTTTAATATAGTTCAATTGATTAAGGTATATATGATCGTAGATTTGAATCCTGACGTACCCAAGTCTTGTTGTATTAAAAAAATCTATTTTTTCAATATTTATTTGGATATATTTATTCAATCATATAATAAATAATTTCATTTTTAAATGTCCATACTTTTTATATATATTCCTTAGCTCAAAAAAATTGTTGTTTTTATATTTGTGCATGTGGACGTCTCATCTCAAATAAATAAATGAACAAAAGACATGTTACAATCTTTTTTTTCTTTAAACAATTTGTAGTAAATTTAACTTTGTTCACTAAAAATGGTTTTTTATGTAAAATCAAGGCGGAATAAATTTGAAAGTTTAAAAACCAGGATGAAACAGTTATTGATACTTTAAAGATCAAAATATGGTTTAAACGACCTTACTTTTCTTTTTGTTGTTTTTTTATTCCCCTGACATTAATATGAAATTTTTGGAATTTCTGTGTCTCATCATTTGCCTTATGTTGGACAGTCATCTATCCTTTTCCATAATATCCCTCTCCCTTGTTCTCAGTTACTCGTCAAATTTTGAGGCCAATAAAAAATATTTGAAACTATGAAACTGCCAATCCGAAGATATTCAAACTGGTTAAGCTACCTTTCTTCGATCAAAAGTCGTAAATTCTTCCTAAAAATTTGAATGATTTCAAACAAATATGGCTACAAAAGTAGTTTTCTTTCTTTTTCTTCTTTTATTTTGTAAATTTATTATTTTTTTCTAGTATCATATTGTCTCCTTTTTATCTAGTAGAAAAACTATATATAATATAGTAAAATTAACGTAAAATCTTCTTATTTTCCTTTTGTAGTACAACATATAGGATGTAAGGATTCGAACTCCCACCCTCTTAATTGGAGATATATGTCTATTGGTCCCGAGTTTTTTTTTAATATTATAGTATATAGTATGATATTTAAAAAAAAATAAACCTTTGGGGCAGTTGAAAGTTTGGCCAACAGATTAATTGGATATACCTTTTTGCAATTAAAAAGTGTTATATTCCATTCTCTTGTAGAATTGGAATATTTATTTTATATCGACATTGTGAGTATATATGATCAGTTGACTTCATTTTTATTTGATTCATCGCCTGCTGTCCAAAAAAGCACTTTTCAAAGGTGCATCTTTGACCATAACTATTTCGTTAGTGATTTTAATTTTTAATTTTTTTTTTACCTTTAAAAAATTGGCTTTGATAATTCATTTAATTAAAATTTAAAACTTAAAAAATATCACCATGGAGATAAAAGAGAGGTCTGTTATAATAACAATAAAATCGAACCCACAAGGTTGTGAGTTCGAATCCCCTCCCTAATATGTTGTACTCAAAATAAAATAAAATCGAATATTTAAGAGAAGGGAGACAAAAGCCACAAATTTTCTATCAACACCATGAAGCAACTATTAAGGGGATGTTCATGGTTGAAGTCGGTTAAAAATTTTTTCAAACCAAAAAGCTGAATCGGGATACTATTTCATTTATCGATCGGTTTCAAATCAAATTTTTCACTTTTTTTAAATCACGAAGAACAAATATATAGAATAAATATCCCAAAAAAACAAAGTCGGTTCGATTTGGTTTTCAATTTTCTTTTTCATATTTTTTATGCAAACCCTAGTTGGCCAATTATTGAAACAATAATTGAGAAAGAACCAAAGTTAGCAAGCCCTTGTAATTAAAAGCCATGCCTTTGTGATTTTTTTTTTCCCCAAAGATTTTGCCCTCTTCTTTCTCATTTCTTAATGCATATTGATAATTTTTCCACCATACTTCATGATCATTTGCTTCTCTACATCTTTACATATACATTATTGGAAACCCACCCAATATAACTTTTCAAAATCTTTTACATAATTTTTCAATTATTAAATCTTTAGTGCTGTGGTTTAAATTAATAATCTTCCCACATTAAATATAATAGCATGATACTAAAAAGTATCTCTTATAATATTATAGATTTAAATTTTAAATTTTTAGTCCCTACATTTTTAAATTTTATGTTTTAGTCCCTTAACTTTGTTTAGAACACTATTTACCACTCCGTCGTTAATTTCGCATTCTTTTTTTTAACAAAAATCTATATGTTCGTAGCTTCAAATACTTGGCTAACATATACATTATCCACTAATATCATGAATTGACAAAAGACATATCATGTCAAGTTTTTGTTAAATAATTTTATGTAAATAAATAATAAAAACTAAAATAGTTTTTTCAACCAGAGAGTTAGAGAAATATATTAAAGACCAAAATATAATAAGAATAAAAGTTTAGGGATCCGAACAGGATTTTAAACTAATATTATAATATCATAAATATGTCACACTAATTCAATCGACTTCAAATGATGTGTTTGATAAATCTCGTGTTAAAGGAGATTCGATCATGTAATTTTTAATGTTGCGAAGAAAATGATTTAAAATTTTTAATTCACACTGAGTACTTATTTTAAATGTAATTGCGACAGTTTTTCATTATTTAAATAGTTCTAATGTTGGTTAGAATTTTGAAGAAAAGTACATAAAAGTTGATATAGCACAAGAATTCCAAGACAAATGCTCCATGGTTTTTGGAGTGGCAGGCAGTGGAACAAATTTGAACTTTTTTAATAAACAAGGGACAAACCATTTTAGTGATATAATAGACTTTAACCATAGAATATTCGGTGTTATATAATATACAAATATAATAGACAGCTAAATAGTCCGATAATATTACGATCAGAAACAATTTAAATTTAAATCTCTCTCTAAAATTCTTCGACTCTGTTTTGGCGTTTGAAACGTTTTTAGTCAAAATTAAGCTAGACATACTACACTTGGGTTTTTAATCTAATAAGGGGTTTTGACTCGTTAAAACTCAATTAGGTTTTGGTTATATAGGTTTTGTATATTTAAAGTTGAGCTTCTTTTACTTCCAACTTTTTTTTTTCATTTTCTAATTAAGCACTATATTTCAAAGTAAAGAACTGGTTTTCAATAATCGAATTTTTTTGTTTAAAATTAAATTGAACGATAAATAATGAAAGTAGTAGTAAACAAGCTTAATTAGTATTTAGAGATGAAAACTAAAGAAAAAATGTGTTATCAAATAGGTATTTAGCTTCTAACTTAATTGTTAATATAGACAATATATTTTGAAATTCAATTAAATTAGTAGTAGACAAGCTTATTTAGTCTGTTGGGATGAGAACTAAAAAATAAAATTAAAAAAAAAGTTTGTTATATTTAGTTTCAACTTAATTGATTTGATCGTTCTTTTTTTTCTGCTCTTTTTAGTTCAACGGGAAAGAAGATTGAACATCGATCTTTAAGTTAACAAAAAAGGTCTTATCCACTAAGTTATATTTCAATGGGAAGTTATGATTAAAATTAATCTATGCCCGAATGGTATAGGAATAAATCATACGCTATCCAATTTTCTCCACTAATCCAAGGAAATTAAGCTCACTAATTACAAATGTTATTTCTCATTATTAAGTTCTTAGAACTTTAGATAGGATTATCTCTATAATCTCCCTCTTATCCTTCTAATATCTCTTCTACCAATAGATTTTCAAGTGGCTTTAAAATCTCCTTTGAGTTGGATTCCAAGTCCAAATCCATTAGCAATATTCTAAAATTTCTACACCTCATGGGTCACAAAAGCACTCACATGAAACTTTTATTTATCTTATTATATTTCTTTCACTTAGCTTTTAGTTAATTAGTTGATTGGAGCTTTATAATTTTAATTTGTATTCTTAATTGTTTTTTAAGCCATGACTTGAAAAATCAAAGTAACATTACTAACACATAGTTTAAGTTGTGGTGGAAATTAAAGTCATGGCAAATAATTAGTGCAATGTGGAAAAAATTGATGCCTTCTAGCAATTATACACAAAGGTTCTATCTTGGCAAAAATTTTATAACTTAAATTCGTAGTAACTACTCTTTTCATTCATAATTTGATATACCATTAATTAAGCATTTATTTTATTCTTGTAGTATTAGAGATTTTCCCATGCATTTGATCTATACGAGAGTTTGGTATTGGTATCACACTGATTCCCGACCTAAACATGTGTTTAAAGTCCTCTTTTATTGAGACCTAGCAACTGACGAAGTGTTCATATTATTGTCCAGGGTGCATACATCCTTTCTAAATATTCGTTGACGTGTCGATATTTTCATCGATATTTCTATATTGTTTTTAAAAAATTGACAAAATATTAAATATATCACAAATATATACACAATATTAATATTAACATTCTTGTACTAAAAAAATATTAACATTTTTAACTTATTTAGAAAAGTTGCAATGTTTATTTGGTAATGGAAATACTTTTTACAAACTTTTTTTTATTTTTTAAAATCTTTACATAAATATCTATTGACATCAATAATTTATCGATATTTTTAGCGTAAAATTGAAATTTTGACATTTCTATCGACATCGACATTTAAAACTTTAATTAACACCAATACAAAACCCATTTAAAAAACGATTATGGCAATTTATCTTAAATTATCCTATTATTTATTGATCTAATAGAAAATATTTTTGTGCTATTATAAATGTCTTGTGTTTTATTGATTCATATTTTAATATTAATAATTATTAGTGGCACGCAAATTCAACATTTATTTTAAATATTCTAAAGTAAATTTCCTATCTCGAGAAAAGGGACTGAAATTTTTAAATTATGGGGACTTTTAATGGCGGCCGTAGCTCGACACTAAAGGCTAGCTTACAATGTCAATCAAGACCGACGTTGAAACTTGTCTTTTTTTCAATTTTAGCACATCTTTTCTCTTATCCTTTTTTTTTTTCTTCTTATTTTTACCATTATTGAAGCCAGATTTGTTGTAATGTCGAGAAGCTCATATTTATCATTTTATGTACATTAGAAAAAACTTCTAAAAAGTTAATGGAAATAAAAATAAAAATAAGACAAACCAAAAAGAAAGTACTGACAACTTTAAAAAATTGTTTCTCATCAACTTTGTAAATTTATTCAAAACTGCTAAATTGACATATAAAGCATCACTATAAAACCAAATAGTCCTTAATCTTCGTCTTTAATTTTTTTAAATTCTCAATTTTATCCACAATGCATCAAATATTCTCAATTAGGTCCTTTCAGTAAAATAACAAAAATAATAATAAAAAACAAGGTTAAATTTGTTAATAAAAAGTTTTTTTTTTATAGTCCGAGCTTTCCTCCCCTATACTTGGAGAAAACCGCACCCATCCCAAGGCTCGAACCCAAGAGACATCGAGAGTTTTTTATATTAAACTCACCAAAAATATTCGAACTTGAGATCTCTAAGTCAGTATGACCAAACCGAGCTACCCCTTGAGAACAAAAAGTTAATGTATCATTAAATTATTATTTTATTAACATATTTAGTCATGTGAATATATTTACTCAAATGCTACTTGACACATAAAATCAAACTAAACCGTCAACAAAATTCATTTCTTTCAAGTAGCATGACCACACGTCCAAATATGTTAAAAAAAAATAATTTATTAACACATCAACTTTCAATTAACATATTTTAACATATTTTTCTATGCAATGACTTGATTGAGAATTTTTAATGGGTAAAGTTTTAAATTTTTAAAAGATAAGAATCAAATTGATAAAACCCTAAAACAGTCCATTCATTGTCTATAACTAGGCAAGACTAGTACAGGGCTTTTCTTTCACCACAATCAAATATTCATATTGCATACCCTTCGCTCACCTTCGTTCTTAGTATAACTTATAAGAAACTACTCATAATGCATTCATGCTAGTCAAAATTCCCCAGTGACTACAACTATATATGGGGACATATCGATCTCAAGCATCCTACAAAGGAATGAAGATTGGCAGAGTCGTGTTACCGATTTTTTGCTCGGCTTTGATAGGAACGATGTAATTCCCGAGCAGCTTCTTTGATCCCAAACCTCCATTGCCTGGCCATAAAGTTAGTGTTTGGATGAAAATTAGTCTAGCTAAAGAAGACTGGTATTAGGAATATAACCTTCCCTTCTCAGATCATCAATCAACAAGTTTAGGATTTGATGGATTTCAATCCACTCATGATGTAAAACATCACCACCAGCATGAAACTCGTGAAGCTGTGAATCGATATCAATCCAGCTGCAGCCAGGAGTCTTGGAAACACCCTTTTGCTTCATCAACATTCTCATCCTAGCTGAGTCGTCCCATCTTCTCAAATTTGCATATAATCTCGACGAGATTACATAATTTCCAGAATTTGAAGGTTCCAACTCTAGGAGTAGTTTCATTACACGCTCGCTGATGTCGATGTTCTTGCGCTTCTGACAGGCACCTAGCAATGCTCCGAGGATGACTTCATCGGGTTTTTCAGGCATCTTCTCGATGAAGTCCCAAGCTTCTTCGAGATGTCCTGCCCGTGACAAAAGGTCGACCATACAAGAGTAGTGCTCAATTTTTGGCACCAATCTGAATGATGAGCACATCATGTGAAACAACCGACGTCCTTCGTCTACTAATCCGGCGTGCACGCAAGCAGAAAGTACTCCTACAAATGTGATGTCATTGGGGGAAGCAGATCCACCCTCCTTGATCATGGATTTGAATAGAGCTAAGGCTTCTTGAGCTTGTCCATGGAAAGCAAGAGCAGATATCATAGCATTCCAGGAGACTTCGTTTTTCCGAGGCATGCCATTGAAAACTCGAAATGCATTGTCCAAGCTTCCACATTTTGCATACATGTCAACCAATGCAGTCGCAACATAAATATCGTCTCGCAAGCCTCTTTCCGAGGCATAAATCTCTGCTTGCTTCCCCAAGTCAAGGGCTCCAATGGAAGCACAGGCAGAAAGCATTCCTATCAATGTGATTTGATCCGGAGTTGTGCTGCTCATTCTCATGTCTTGGAATAATTTAATGGCTTCTTCTGACAGCCCATTCTGCGCATATCTGCAATTGATTTATTGGAGAACAAAAAGAGATTCCATAAAATTTGGAACATAAAAGAACCTGATTTATATAGGCTAATATATCTTTTGGTCCCTAATATTTGAATTTTTTATAGTCTCAATTATTTAAAAAGTTTCAATTTAGTCTCTTGCATTTAAACACTTTTCAATTATACCCTTTTCATCGGTAGACGTCAAATGTGACTAATGGAAACCATATAATAGCGAGTGAATTAGCATAAATTTAGAGGAGGAATTAGGCCACAAAACTTCTAATTCCTCCTTCAAATTTTTGCAAATTAAGTATCATGTCACATAAGCTTACTTCAATCCCATTCAAAATCCACCAACAAAAAGGGTATAATTGAAAAATATTTAGACCTAAGGCAACTAATTTAAAACTCTTCAAGCAATAGGGACTAATTGAAGAGAGGACAAAAACCAACACTGAGGGACTAAAACATGTATTCAACCTATGTCTATTTACAATATCCAAAAGTATTGATTCAAAGAGAAGGTGATTCACTTGCCCTGTAATCATAGCATTCCAGGTAACTTTATCTTTCTTCTTCATAGACTCAAAAATCCTTCTCGCTGACACTAAATCACCACACTTCCCATACATATGGATCAACGCAGAACCCATAAAAGAATTCAAAACCATCTTATTCTCCACCACAAACTCCTCCACCCAAGTGCCAAGTTTCAAATCCCCCAGCTCGCCACACGCCCCCAAGACACTCACTAAAGTCAT